TATTTATTGTTATTTTTATTCTTGTTTTATTTTATGGAGAAATATCCATGATGCATTTGGTAAAAAAAAGGCTCTCTTTCATTAAAAAAAATATTTTATTTATTTTTAGAGGGGAAGGGAAGGAGAAAGAGAGGGAGAAAAACATCAATTTGTCAATGTGTGTCAATGTATCTATCAGTTGCCTCTCACATGCCCCCATCTGAGTACCTGGCCCACAACCCAGGCATGTGCCCTGACTGGGAATCAAACCAGTGACCTTTTGGTTTGCAGGCCAGCATTCAATCCACTGAGCCACACAAGCCAGGGCTCATTCATTTTTATGGAGCATTTATCATCTTATGCCAGGCACTAGGTCTGCACTGTCCCAACTGCACGTCTCAAGAAGCACACATGTGATTGTTTAAGTTAAAATTAAATGTAAGGAAAACTCGATTCTGCAACTGCACCAGCCACATTTCTGTGGTCAGTAGCCATCGTTCAGTTGTACCATTACTAAGTATTCTGTTGGACAGTGCCACACTACACATCTTCTCTTGTACTTTAAACAAGATACACTGTCACGCAGTGGTAGCACTAGCCTTGGAAATCTCTCTGTTGGTGTTGTTAGGTGCCACACTTGGCTTGACTGGGCTTGGGGTCCACTCGACCTGCAGATCCTCTTGATTATGTTTGGAGGGGCCTGGGACCCTTCCCTTCGGGCAAAGTGTCATCGCTCTTTTACCGCCCATCTCATGTCGGGCCTCCCCTTCCCTGTCTCCTCTCTACAGGTGATCCGCCAGCTAATGAAGAAGGAATTCACCCTGGAGTTCTCCCGAGACAGAAAGTCCATGTCTGTCTATTGCTCCCCAGCCAAGTCCCGGGCTGCTGTAGGCAACAAGATGTTTGTCAAGGTCAGAAACCAGAATGTGCCCTGGCCCCTTTTCCTCCTAATCCTGACTCCCCCTCCTATCCCTGCCTGCTCTGGAAGGGAGACTGTGGTCTCTGAATGCCGTTCTGGTCTCCTAGGGTGCCCCCGAGGGGGTCATTGACCGTTGTAACTATGTACGAGTTGGCACCACCCGGGTGCCGATGACTGGGCCGGTGAAGGAGAAGATCATGTCTGTGATCAAGGAGTGGGGCACTGGCCGGGACACCCTGCGCTGCCTGGCGCTGGCCACCCGGGACACACCCCCAAAGCGAGAGGATATGGTCCTGGATGACTCTGCCAAGTTCATGGAGTACGAGGTGAGCAGGTGGAAGCCAACCATTGGCCCAGAGTCATCTGCCTCACCTCCTCCACCACCCTTGTCATTTCCTACTTTGTCATGGGTCCTAGAATCCCCAGGCATTAGAGTTTGAAAGAACCCCAGTGCCACTTTACGTGTGATCTGTGAACCTGTCTGTGATGAGGTGAGGAGCGTGGATGCACCAGGACAGGAATCAACTATCACTAAACACGCCGGTTCAGCTGACATGTTTCCATAGTGAGATTTTCCTGATGCTGAATCAGCGCGTCGACCTGCATTCTGGCACAAAGCTCCTTTTTTTCTGTAGTGGATTGGTTCTCTGGAGAGTACCAAAGTCCACACCCTTTGTTTTAGAGAAGGGACGCTGTGGCATGACTGTTCACACAGATTCACTCAGAGTTATAGACCAAGTGAGCGGCCCTTCTGAAAGCAGAAACCACTGCCCTAACGTTCCGTTCAGTTCTTCCTGTGAAAGACACAGTCTGCCCCTTACCGTGGGTCTGGCGCTGCCAAGCCTGTGGGTACACCTGTGAACAAGGAGTGCCTCCTGCCCCTGAGCTTGCAAGGCCCTGCTGAGGTTTAAACGCCAGGCCCGGAGTCAGCTCTTCCTCCAGCTCAGACCTTTCTCCCCAGCTCCCCAAGAGCATCCTCCCTGGATCAGTTTTTGAGCCCCTCCCTGACCCTGCTGCCCTCTGTTCTGTCTCCCCAGATGGACCTGACATTTGTCGGCGTGGTGGGCATGTTAGACCCTCCGAGGAAGGAGGTCACGGGCTCTATCCAGCTGTGCCGTGATGCTGGAATCCGAGTGATCATGATTACCGGGGACAACAAGGGCACAGCCATTGCCATCTGCCGACGAATTGGCATCTTTGGGGAGAATGAGGAGGTGGCAGACCGAGCTTACACTGGCCGAGAGTTTGATGACCTGCCCCTGGGTGAGCAGCGGGAGGCCTGCCGTCGCGCCTGCTGCTTTGCCCGAGTGGAGCCTGCCCATAAGTCGAAGATTGTGGAGTATCTGCAGTCTTATGATGAGATCACAGCTATGGTGAGAAGACCAATGGGGCTGCTCAGGCTGGGGCCCCTGCGGAGTCTTGCACGGGGGAGTCTGCTTAGTGCCCACTGAGACCATTGTCTTCAGGAGCTGGGGCCCCAGGAAGGGAGGAGCCGAGGGCCCCGGTCAGATGCACAAGGGGTGTGTGGGAGGGGCCAGGTCCCACCTCTCTCTCCCCTCAGACTGGCGATGGTGTCAATGACGCCCCAGCTCTGAAGAAGGCTGAGATTGGCATTGCCATGGGCTCCGGCACTGCCGTGGCCAAGACCGCCTCCGAGATGGTGCTGGCTGACGACAACTTCTCCACCATCGTGGCTGCTGTGGAGGAGGGCCGGGCCATCTACAACAACATGAAGCAGTTCATCCGCTACCTCATCTCCTCCAATGTGGGCGAGGTGGTCTGGTGAGCAGCCAGGGCGGGCACCCACGAGGAACCAGGTCAGGGTGGGGGATGAGCACAGGTCTGGGAGCAGGACAGACATGTGACCATCTCCTTCTGGCAGCATTTTCCTGACAGCCGCCTTGGGGCTGCCTGAGGCCCTGATCCCTGTGCAGCTGCTGTGGGTGAACCTGGTGACTGATGGGCTCCCAGCCACAGCTCTGGGCTTCAACCCGCCAGACCTGGACATCATGGACCGGCCCCCCCGGAGCCCCAAGGAGCCCCTCATCAGTGGCTGGCTCTTCTTCCGCTACATGGCAATTGGGGGTGAGTAAGATGAAACTCCACGATCTTTTCTAAGCCTCCAAACTGACCCCTCTGGGACATCAGCCCCTCCAGAGCCGCTGCCCTGACCACTCCTTTTCCTCAGCCCACTGTTCATGGCCAACAGGTCCTCTTGACGCCTCCCATTTCCCAGCCCTAACCCCCCAACCCCCAACTTCTTTCTACCACAGGCTACGTGGGTGCAGCCACTGTGGGAGCTGCAGCCTGGTGGTTCCTGTACGCGGACGACGGGCCTCATGTCAGCTACAGCCAGTTGGTAGGGGAGGACTGAAGAGGGAGGACGGAGGGGCGCAGGGTGGCCTGGAGGCTTCAGTGGGACCCTTTCTTTCCCCCTCCCCTCCCCTGCAGACCCACTTCATGCAGTGCACCGAGGACAACCCTGATTTTGAGGGTGTGGACTGTGAGATCTTTGAGGCCCCTGAGCCCATGACCATGGCCTTGTCTGTGCTGGTCACCATCGAGATGTGCAACGCTCTCAACAGGTATGGCCTGCACAGCCTCCCCTGCCACCTCGCCCTCCACGCTCCTCTCTCTGCTTCACCACTCTTTCTTCTGTGTCCTCCACTCTCGCCCCTGCCCGGCCGTCCTTGTGCAGCCTCTCTGAGAACCAGTCCCTCGTGCGGATGCCACCCTGGGTGAACATCTGGCTGCTGGGTTCCATCTGCCTCTCCATGTCCCTCCACTTCCTCATTCTCTATGTTGACCCTCTGCCGGTGAGCCTTCCTCTGGCCAGGGCCCCCTGTCCCCCAGCTCACACAGAGCCTCTGTAGCAGCCCGTGACCACTGTAACTACAAGCGCTCACGAAGGGAAGGTGGGGTCAGGTTGGGGTACAACTGGGTCCTCTGGCCCCTGCCTGCCCTCCCCTCAGAGGGGCACATGGCCTTCTCACTGCCCTGACTGCCCCTCCCAGATGATCTTCAAGCTCCGCGCCCTGGACTGTACCCAGTGGCTCATGGTCCTCAAGATCTCATTGCCAGTCATCGGGCTTGACGAGCTCCTTAAGTTTGTTGCTCGGAACTACCTGGAGGGTAAGAGGCCTTCCTCCTCTGAGCGCTGCCAGCCCCTGGGCCCTGAGTACAGCCCCTTCCCCTCTGCGCTGCGAAGGCGCCCGCCCCGACCCTTTTCCTTTTCAGGTGGGTGTGTTATCGGTCCACCAGGGAGGAGCGCCCAGGTCCTTTCCCTCCCCTCCCCACTCCTCTGTGCCTAGAGCAGACACCTTCTCCTTGGTTCCCCCACAACTGCCTCAGCCCTCTTGGCCCTACACGCCCCCTCCGATAACGGCTGTCTCTCTGTCCTCTCTGGTCATAGGATAACTCGTTCCCCCTCCTCCATCTCTTTGAACCGTGTCACAGGTATCTCCCTTCTTGCCCTCACCCCCAGCTGCTGTGCCCCCCACCCAACCCTCTCTGCCCCACGGATGGCACCCGAGGCCACTTGCGCTCGCACACCGCCACTGCCGTGCTTCCAAGCCAGGGGTGGGCTGCTGCCCTTACTCTGCGGGTCGGCACTGCCCTGGCCTCTGGGCACCACCGCGTCTGCTGCGCTGCGCTGCGTTGCGCTAGCTGGGCGTTGCGCTAGCTGGGCGCTGCGCTGTCTGCCGCTGGGGCTGCAGTGGTTGGGAGTGGGGTCTGGGGACACAGGTGGGTAAGGGGGTGCTGGGCGACCCTCCAGGTGAGTCTGCAGAGGGTGGGGGCAGCGAGCCTGAGACGGACTATTCCCCTCCTGCTCCTGCTTCAGGCCTTCCTTTTCTCCTTCCAGATCCAGAAGATGAAAGAAGGAAGTAACCAGTCTTTTGCCCCTTCTTCCCCACCCTGATAGTGACACATCTTCAGCCTGAGCTGTGGCACAGACCCCACATCCCCTCTCCCCCTTCACATTCTTGTTTATAAACACAGTGTCCCCTTCACTGTTCCTCCCCACCCCAGCAACCCTCCCTTTTACCCTGTAAAACCTCCCCTTCCCCAACCTCGTGGGGCTTGCAGGGACAAGGCTACCGACTGAGCTGAGCTGCTTATTTATTGAAAATAAATGACAGAAAAGTCTGGCCTCGCCTCCATGCACATCTTGGGGCCTGGGTCAGGCCCTTGGGGACAAGCATCTTAGTGTCATGCAGTCCAGAAAGCAGCTGCCTGTCCAGGGTGCATGTATGGACAGAGGCTCCCAGCCACCACCCACAGCCTGGCTGTGCCTTAGGAAAGGGGACAGGGGCATGAGGGTTAGGGCCCAGGAGGCAGCATAGCAGCCAGAAAGTCACAGGGCTGAGCCTGCACCTTTGGTTCCAGGGGGCAGTTGGGACCCTCACCCAGTGTCATCCTTGGAAGCAGAAGGCCCAGTCACTCCTGGGAGGAGGCCCTGGAGGGCCAGGGTGGTGGTGGCCCCATCCCCTAAACCCCAGGCTTGGAGAGGGGAAGACTCCATCCTGAGGCCCCCAAAGCTTAGGCTTAATAGTTCTGCAGTGGAGAAAAGCAGTCTCCCCATAGTGGGTGGGTCTGGCCTCTCAGGAGTCCTTGATGTCCCTGATGTCCCTGAGGGGCGCCTCGTCCATGATGCTGCGCACTTGCTCCAGACTCTCTGCCTGGCGGATCTGTTCCAGGCGCACCTGGGGGCGTCCAGTGAGGAAAGCAGAGGGCCCTTGGTGCAGTCGCCACCCCACCTGCCAGCCCCCAAGGGGAAAGGGCCCAGCACCAAAGTACCCAGGGGCCCCACATCCCTCAACCTATGGCAAAACCAAGTTCAAGGGGAAGAAATGGGTCCCAGGGGAATAGCCTGAGGAAGTATGGGGCAGGGGCAGATGACATAATGAGCATGCAGCATGTCTGTGGGCCGGGCCCTGGGCTGGGGGCTTCCCGTGACCAACAAAGATGGGCACACAAGAGCTTTAACATGTTTGAGCAGCAGTGCAGAGGAAAGAACCGTGCCAGCCCCAGAAGGAGAGAGAAGACTGCCCTAATTGGGGCACTGTCCTTGCACGACCCAGGACAAGTCACCCGGAGTCGCGGCAGTCTGGTGGTGAGGGGACATGCCATACCTGCAGGGCCTGGGACAGTCGTACAAAATCCCTCTGCACCTGTTCACTGGTCTCCAATTCGGCCTGCAGCCGCAGCACCTTTGCCCTCTGTTCTGAGAGGAGGTCTGTGAGCTGAGCCTGTGAGGACAGGGCACCGGCTGGAGCCTTGGCCCAGATGGGAGGGTGTGTGGCCCACTGGAGGGACAGCCCCTCCACCCGCCCCTGACTAACCCCTTCTGTAGGGCCTGAGCCTGGTGACTGCCTCAAGGCTTTCTGCCGCCCGGTCTGAGACAGACACAGAGGGCAGAAGGGTCTGGTTGGGTAGGGTCTTCTCCACTCTGCCACCGCTTCCCCGTCATTCCGTCTGGCCTGACTTCTGCCTCACCTTGCTCTGTTCCTGATGGATCCGCTCCATCTCTGTCCTCAGGCTGCACAGGGAGGCTAGGAAGTCAGGCAGGGACCAGACGTCAGGCCCACACCCTCCTTCCTTCACCCACCCCAGCCCCACCTGCCCGGGTCCACACTTACCCTCTAACACCTCTGTGTGGAAAGGAAAGAAAGAGAGGTCAGGCTCACTCTTGCACTGTTTCCTCTCTCCCCTCCTGGCACCCAGGTGGTCCACTGTGGGGAGGTCACCCTCCCAGAAAGCTGGGGTGGGGAGTCTCATCACTTCTTCTCTCACCTGTCTCCTCCCGCTGCACCCTCAGCTGCCCCTCCAGGCTGGCCCGTGCCGCAGTCTCTTCCTCCAGCGCCTCCCGCAGCGTCACAATCTCAATCCGAAGGCGCTCAGCCTCATGTTCCCTGGCCTGCTGATGGGCCCTTGCCTCCTGCCCCATGCAGCGTACCAGCTGCTGCAGTTCCTGAAAGGGATGCAGTCACCGGCTGGGTGTGGGGTAGGAGGGGCAAAAGCAGCAGGGGCCACCAGCTACACGGGATTACGAAGAGGGGAAAGGAAGGGAGGAAGGAAACTGAAAAGGGGAGATAACCCAAACACCCAGCATGGGACATCCATTGCCCTTGCTGGGGCGAGTGGACAAGTACATTGTTCGCCAGTGACTTCCACTGCAGGCAGCCCCACCCTCCGGGGGCAGACCCTGCGGGACGGTGCAGGAGGTTACCCAGAGCAGAGACCCTTTAATAAAGCTCAGAAACACTGAAGTTAGCACTCTGTTGTTTAGGCAGGTACATGTTTATAGTAAAAGTGGTACCAAAGAAGAGCAAGGGAACTGTCAAATTCAGGAAGGTGGAAACAGCCAAGCAGTAGAGGTACACATAAGATTTCAGTTGTATTTTCAGGGTGGGCAAGGGTTCCAGGCGACCTTCATATTTTTAATACATTAATTTAATAATATCCACAAAGACCATGCACAGATCAATGAGGACAGATTACTATGAACCATGATGATTTCAACCATGTGGATCTCAGGTCGCTTAAACCAAATTACTGCTTTCACATCAAGCATTCTGTTAACTTATTTTCTCCTCAGGCCAAGGCTGGCAAGGGGGTTTGATCCCATTTTCAGATGAGGAAATTGAGCCTTAGAAAAGTTAAGTGAGTTGGCCAAGGTGATGCAGTTAAAACAGTAGCCTGGACCTGTCCCCAAGTCCCATGGTCCCAGGCCAAAGCCTCTCTGTGTATGAAGAGAAGTGCCAGCAGGGCGAGCCCTGGGCTCTCAGTGCCTGCACTGCCCTTACCAGGACTGAGCTGGGCAGCGCCTCCTCCTGGCCCGCATCCTGCTCCAGGACCCGGGGGGCTGCAGGTGGTGGCTGCTCAGCCCGGAGCCCTTGGTTTTCTTCTGTCAGCCGCTTTACCTCATGGCTCAGGCACTTGTGGGAGGTGGCCAGCTCTGCCTGGGTATGGAGAGTCGGTTCCGGGAAATGAGGGGGGCAAGTGTCTCTGTCTCCTGTGAGGCCAAATCCTGAACCCTCCTCCAAATGTGCTGACAGCCAGAAAGCCCCTACCCCCCTTCTCTGCTGAGAAAGGAAGGAACAACGTTTATTATGTGTCTTTGTCTCCCAAGTCCTTTATACACTCAGTGACATGGAGGTCACACCATGGCAGCCATAGGCCAGGTTGGGTGTTTTATTTGGTCAATGTTCTTTTTTTCTTAACATTAAATTAGTTTCTAACTTTAAAAATTTGGAGACTATGCACCAATATTCAGATTTCTGGCTTCCCTTGGCAAATCAGTAAACCTGGCAGCATCGAGCTCAAACTCCCGCATGGAGAAGTCGAGGAGCAGCTGCCCTGCGCACCATCTCTTCGCCACGCCACTCCTTCCGGCCTCACGCCCAGCCCGACTCAATAATTTACAGCTCTCGTCTGGCCTTGGGAAGTTCCTGATTTTGCAACCCTTGCTTTTAATTTTCATGACTCTCCAAACTAGGTCCCGTTATCTCAATATCAAGGCGGCAAGGCTGAGGAGGCTCCCTGCTTGTGGGATCAGCTCAGGATCACAGAGCAGGTGTGTCGTGGGCTCTATCTGAATGCACAGCCCCAGTTCTGGCCATAGTGCCAACCCTTTTACCCACCTGGCATCAACTCCAGCTATAGCCCACACGGGAAAGGGGGCCTCCACCTTCCACCTCAACCAATTCCCATCACTCTCCTCTCCCTCTTGCCCCAGCTCCAAAGCCCTCACCATCTGCAGCTGAACCCGCTCCTGAGCCTGGCTCACAGTCCCCTGCAGGGTCTGCAGCAGCTGCTCTGAGTTCTGGACCTGGGCCAGGAGCACCTGCATCTGTGGGTGGAAGAGGGCAGAGGTGAGGTGAGGCCAGGGCCCAGGAGGAGGCATGCAGCCAGAGGTCCTGCTGGGGCCGGAGTAGAGGCTGGACCCACCTGCTTGGCACAGTCCTCATTGCTTCGTCTCAGGCCCTCTTGCAGCTCATCCCGCTCACGGCTAATGCTCTCCAGGTCCTTTTGCAGCTGCCGCCCCTGCCACAGACCTTGGTCTCAGTCTCAACTTCCAGGAGAGGCTTCCCTTCTCACTGTGCCTCTTATGCCTTGCCTTTTCTCTTTTTGCATCTCAGTGGGTGGTACCATCATTCTCACAGTTGCTCAAGCCAAAAGCCCAGGAATTGATGCCCTTCTCTTTCCTCCACTCCCCATGTCTAACCTGCCAGCAGGTCCTGCCAGTCTGCCTACAAAGTAGATTTCCAAACCACTTCTCTTCATCTCTGCTGCCATCTCCTGGTCCCAGTCACAACCCTCTTCTAAACTACGTCAAGTGTCTCCCAACTGGCCATCCCACTTCTCCTGTTGCCCTCTACCCCCACTACAGTCCATTCCTACAGCGAGGCCCAAGTGGTCTCTTAAAAGCCTAAAGCATAGCAGGCCTCTCCCTGGTTTAAACCCCCCAGAGGCTTCCCACTGCTCCTTGTCTGAAATCTACTCTCCATGGAACTGACGCTGGCCTCTTGGGGACCCTGCCTTCCTTTCTGATCTCATCTCTCTTCTCCCTCTCGGCAGCCTTCCTGTTCCTCAGACACAGCACGATCTGCCCATTCTTAGGGCCTCTGAACTTGCAGTTCCTCTGCCCCCAATCTTCGAAGAGTGCCTCTTTTCCACCATCCAGGTTAGTTTCCAGCACTGCCATGACCCTATACATTAGTTCTGGGCCTGTCACCCTGTGACACTGACTTCCTCATGTGCTCATGTGCACGTGTGGGTCTGTCTCCCTCACTACGAGGAAGCGCCAAGAGGGAGTTTTCTCTTCACTGTGGAATCCCCAGCTCTAGCTCAGCCTAGACATAATAGGTGCTCAGTAAGGACCAGTGCAGGGACAGATGGATGCATGCATGTAGACACGTACCCTACTCACTCCACTCACCTCCATTTGCAGCTGCTCCCACTGGGTGTCTGGGACAAGCTGGTAACCAGGAGGTGGTAGGTAGATGCCCTCAGGGACAAGGGTGCCCGTGGACACCAGGGAGGCTGTCTCTTCCTGCTCAGGGCTCAGGGCCTGGCGGCTATGGGGCAGTGAAGCGCTGCTGCCAGTCCCGCCGCCAAGGGAGAAGGAGGAGATGGAGGCGCTGTCGTCACAGTTGTGGGCGAAGGCCTCGGCCGCTGCACCCCCATCTCCGCTCAGCTCCTCGAGAGGCTCCAGCGGGGGAGACAGGTCTCGGGACAGAGGCAGCAACTCCGTGGAACCATGCAGGGAAGGGGAATGCCGGGGACGTCTCTAGGGAAGGGGGTCAGGGAAGACGCTGGGGGCCAGGGTCCTACAACGCCCCTTCTTCCCTCAGTGCCACCTGGCCTCCCCCTTACCTGGATCTCTTGAATCAGCTCCTCCGCCCTCAACAGTTTCGCCTTCAGCTCCTCTATCTCCTGCTCCATGGGCAGCACAATCTCTCGCAGCTTCTCCGAGTCCTCATGGGCCTGAAGAAGTGGGTTTTGGGCAGCAACATTCCCTCTCCTGACTTCACGACCCCTCAGGTCTGTTCAGAGCTTTCTTTCCAAGCACTTCTAATCCTCCCAAGAAGGTTCTGTCCACCCCATTTTAGAGATAGCAAAGGCTACGGGAGCTCCATGACCTGCCCCAGGTCACGCAGTAAGTGGGTCAGAGTCACGACTATCTTCCTGTAGCCCACGGCCTCACCATACTTTTCTTCCCCAATATTCATTTTTCTCCTTTATCAAAGAACCTAGCCCTGGCTGGCGTAGCTCAGTGGATTGAGCGCGGGCCGGGAACCAAAGTGTCCCAGGTTCGATTCCCAGCCAGGGTACATGCATGGGTTGCAGGCTATAACCCCCAGCAACTGCACATCGACGTTTCTCTCTCTCTCTATCTATCTCCCTCCCTTCCCTCTCTAAAAATAAATAAATAAAATCTTAAAAAAAAAAAAAGAACCTAACATTTTTAGTTGGACACACAGCCTAAATTTTAGAATGCCATCTACATTTCTCAGCTTCCCAGCCTGGCCACGTGATTAAGTTACAGCTAATGAGATGGAGCAGGTGTGCCGTGTGCAACTTCCAGGACAGCTCCTTCAAGGGAGAGGGTGTGCTTTTCTTTACTCCTCCTCCTCCTCCTCCTCACTGGCTAGAACCTGGACGGGGCTGCCACTCAAGCAGTCACTTTGAACCCCGAGGCAGCAAGTTCCCTGTTTTACCTACGACAAAATGGCAACACAGAAGGAGCCCGAGTTCCTAATGGCTTTTAAAAAAATTTGTATAGCAGTTTATTTGAGACAAACTGAAGATATATGCTGGGGAGCAAGGGCTCAAATGCTCTGGAGTACAGCAGTTTTGCAGCTTCCCTAATGACTTGATGAGCTGCCGTATCAGTCCTGCAAATGTCTACCTCTGGACTTGAAGAGAAATAAACTTCTACCTTATTTAAGCCACCGTTGACTTGGGTTTTCAAAGTTCGTCCTAACTGGTATGTCCCCCCACACTCCCAATCACCACCATATTGCTGGCTACTTTTTGGTCCCTCTTCAAGTTTGGGATCCTGCTGAACATGCACAGCCAACAGCCTGGGGACAGCCCCACTTGGCTGGCGTACAGGCTCCTCCATCCCAGTACAGCCGCGTCTGAAAGGAGTCACGATGCCATTTCTCTTTCCACAGATGTTAGATCAGCAAGAACAGCCCCGCTAGCCACCCAGCTGTCCAAAGCAGAAATCTACCAGTCATACATCCTCTTCCAATTCATGCCGCATCTACTTCCTGAACCACTAACAACCTGTGTCAAACGAGTTCAGTCTAACCCTCCCATCTCCTCTGTGAGCCACTACAACAGGAGGGTAAGCCCGTGTGGCCCAAACGAAACACTCAGGATCCCACCTGAAGCCCTGGAATCCATGTTTTGTAGACAGCCAGGCCATGAACGGACAATGGCCGAATGCAGGAGTTGGGCCAGGAGTGGAACCGCCCAACCCCAGGCCTGCATTCCCTCCTGCTGTTGCAGGAGGCTCTCCGTGAGCAGAGCCCTCCTTCACTGCCCTGGGGGGTAGCTCCTGGAGGAACCCTCTGAGTGCAAGCAGCAGCCTCTGCTGGGTGTGGGTTAGACACCCTCCTTTCTTGGGTTCCTGTTTTGACCTTTGTCTTTCTAACCAGCCAATGGACTCATCTCTCTGGACATAAAATGAGCTAAGTATCTGCTTCACAGGGCTTCTGTGAAGATCAAGTGAGGTAACGATGTAGACTTGTTTTGAAAGATGAAGGGTTTGGTAGTACGTGCATCCTACTATTGTCAATAACAACAATAATAAAGGAGGTGATACACCACCTTCAGAACAAACTTTACAACCAGATTTCTTAGATTTTTAAGTCCCAAATCTCCTTTTTATGTGCAAAACCTGGGGAGAATTACTGAACTTCTCTAAGCCTCACCTTTCTCATCTGTTACGTGAATCTAAAGGGCCTTGTCTTCGGGAGAAAGGCTGGGCAGTCTGAATCTGATAGGCAGTTAGCAGAATACCTAGTGCGTGAGAGGCATCCTTAAGTGTTAGCTCCCTTTCCTCTACATGACTGTCCTTAATTTGGAAGGTAAATGGACCTAATGAAGCCACTAGTAAGTGGCAAGCCAGGACCTTGCTGAGTACAGAGCTAGCATGTGCTATGCCTAGAATGATGACTAGGTACCCTGTTCCCAATGATCTGGGAGTGGCACACCAACAATCCCTCTGCCCCACCATCACCTATGGCTGCCTCAACATCTTTCTAAATCTTGGGGGGTTGTAGGAAGGCTACCCGAACCCCAACCTTTTCCATCTGCTTCTCCAAGGAGTCCAGGGGGTGAGCCCGGGACAGCAGCTGCTTCAGGCGGCCCAGCTCCCGCTCCTTCTCCTCACAATCCTGCTGCTGCTGCTGCCTCTCCTGCTTCAGAGAAGTGATCTGGGCTTCGTAGCTGCTGATGGAATCTAGCAGGGCAGGAGGACAGAGGAGGAGGGTCAGTGTGCTGGCCCTACATGTGGGTGAGTGTGGGGCTCTCCAACACTGATGCACTCTGTGAAGCAATTTACCACAGAGGAGGATGGGGGCTTTGTGGAGAGATGGCCCTGTCCAATCAGTCAGCCTCTCTCCATCAGTGTCTTCAGCTGCAAAATGGGGACAGTATCACTGGGTTGTTACAGGATCAAAGGAAATGACATCTGGAAGGTGTTCAGCCCTCTTCCTGAAGATATATGGTCTCTATTCCATACATATTCCATATGTATACCAATAACAATATATACATATATATCAATATACACCAATGCCAATCAATATCTAATAATGGTTAATACATTTTTTTATGTGCATGGTTATTTTAACAGGTACTGACATTAAAAGTAAAGGTTCTGCCAAATTGGAACAGTTCAGCCAACAGCCAGGTAGCAAAACTTTATCAGGAAAACAAACAAGAATATGAGAAAAGAGTTTCAGCCATTGTTGAACAAAGCTGGAGTGACCCGTAACAGACCATTAGTCTATTATCTGTTTCATCGTTGTTGTGTATAATCTACCCCTCAGGAGAAGGGCTAACATGTTTTAAGTGCCATAGGTTTTAAGGATTCTGCAGGAAAAAAAGAATGTTGTTTAGAATCTACAAAAGCTTGTGTTTCTAGATTAATGTACTTTTTATTGCATGTTGTGAACTAAGTTATTGCCTACCTAAGTTTGTAATATATCCTATTTAAAAAAAAAAATTAAGGGTTCTGCTGCCAGACTGCCTAGATTCAAATCTGCTGCTTTCTAGCTATACAACCTTGAGCACATTACCTAACGTCCCCAGGCCGCAGGGCTTCCTCTGTAAAATGGAGCTAGATGATAGCTCCCACCTCATTGGGATTGTTATGAATACTCATAAGGCATTTAGCTCAGTGCCTGGAATATGGTATATGTCAGCCATTATTATTATCGCTGTCATGATGACGATTTGGGACAATTTCTCTTATAAGGACAGGAAATTTCCTTTAAAATAACTGTTTGTAAGTCTTTAAAAAGTGGCCCTACTTAAAGAACAAATATTAAGTAGATAACAGGGTAAGTCATAGGAGGAGACAACCATGTCACACAGGTCGTATGTGGAAGGGAGGCGTCATATTGGTGGAAAGGGTACTGAGTGAAATACAGCCCCAGGAGTCTGGAGGCAGGAGCAGGTGTCTGAAAGGGAAATGATGTAGTGGGATGGGAATTTGAGAAAGTTTATTCTGGAAGCCAATGTTAAGGCCCAATTACAGAAGGAGACCTGTGAGAAGTCCAGGGGAGTTGTCCAGAGCTTCACTATAGCAATGCCAGTGGAACCAGAGGGGTGGGACAGGACTGGAAGCTGTTTTAGAGACTTTGGCTTCTGACTAAAGGAGAAGGGGAAGATAGGAAAAGAAGCCAGGGGATCTGGGGCAAGGGATGGTGTTGCATCCCAAGTACATACAAAAGATGTAAAGGAGGGAAGGAAGTCAGTGCATGTGTATGTGTTGGGGTAGGATGTGGGGGGGGCAGGTGTAGGGATGCTTGGAAAAGGAAAGAAAACCATAGGATAAGACTCACAGAGACCGAGTCCAGGGCTGAGTCTGAAGCCCAGAGGCTCAAGTGAAGGTGCTTCAGGGAACTGAGAAGTTGCTCATCTCCAGGGTTGATCAGTCATCAGTGAGGAACAAGAAATGACAGGGGGCAAGGGAACAGGTAGAAGCTCAGAGCTAAACTTAGCTGGAACTGACACAGTTGATGCTAGCATTGGCAGCATCCCTGTGCAAATTAGAAAAGCGCGTCCCCCCTCCAAAATGAAAAAAAAAAAAAGGGTGTTCTGTCCTTTGGGTCCATAGGCCTGCCCTGGGTTAGGGAACCCTTCTGACTTATTACTCAGTAGCTTATCTGTCCCCTTGACCCTTTTCTGGTCAGGCACTCCCCTTTATGGGGCTGATGGGGAATCTGGGAAGAGACCCTGCCTCACCTTTCAGGATGGCCTGCAGGGAGGCCACCTCCTCTTGGCATTGCCGCTGCACCGCAGCCACAGCCTCGGCCTTCGTGCTCTCGCTCACCTCGGCCACAGCCTTCATGGTCTCCATTTCTGCCAGGGCGCCTGCCAGCTCAACCCGAAGTCGGTCGAGCTCCACTGATTCGGCCTCAGCCTTTGCCCCCTCCTGGGGCTGGGGATCAAGGGCTGTGGGGGAAAAGGATCAGCCTCTCTTCCCATCACTCCAGCATCCCCAGTAACCCAGGCTTCAAAATCCGAAAGTCCTGCTATCTAGTTGTACTGCAGCCGCGGTCCCCGCCCCTTTCCCAGACTAGACCTGCTCACCTGGCCCCGCCTCCTTACCTAGCTATGCGGCGCGTAGCTATAGCCCCGCCTCTCCCCCCTCCCACGGGTCACCCAATCTCCTTTCCTCTGACACGACCCCTCCCTTCCAGAGACCCCGCCCCCTCACTAGCTGGGTTCCACCGCTCACCTGGCCCTACCCCTGGAATCGCCAGGCCACGCCCCACGCCGGTGGCTCCAGACCCCGCCCCTATCTCCAGTATCCCCTTCACCACCCCCCAATCTGCCAGCTGCTGAGCTCGGCCCCGCCTCCGCCTTTGCCGCTCCTCTCGTGCACGGACGCGCCCTTACTTACCAGTCGCCGGCTGCCGTCCCAGGCCATCCTCGCCCGCGGCTGCCGGCCCAGCTGCCGCCATCGCCTCCGCGCAAACGGCGGGGTCCCGTACTCCCTGGTGACCGCGCTCACCGCTTCCGGGTGCGCTCGGCTGTTTCCGGATCCGCTCGGCTGTTTCCGGATCAGCCGGGCTTGAGGCTGAGACCGAAGATATCCGAAGCGACGCCGGGCCCGGCCCCGCCCGTCTTCGTCTTCCTTCCTGGGTAGCGCTGTTCAAGGAGGATACTAGTCCTTCAAAACCCGACGAAGTTCTCATCAAAGGCTTCCTAGTGTCTCCGTGTGACTTTAGAAGCTCTGTTGAAATTATACTTCCTCCGGGACCCCCGCCGCTCAGAAGACAAAGCTCTCGCGGTCTCTCCCGAGCCCCGGAGCTGAACCCTTGCTCAGCCCCTGGCCGCCATTCCGCTGGAGCCTGGCTCACTTCACAGAGAATTGTTGCCAGGCCTCCCTACACCTCTGCCCTCGTGGAACGTCCCTCGGCGCAGGGCTGGATTGGCTCCACTTTGGGGGTCTGTGTCCCCTCGTAGTCGGTCGTAGAAGTCAGGAACTTACACGTTCCCCACTTTGATATTCAACCATTCACCGCTTCCTGCTAATCCCCCTCCCCTTCCCAGTGCCTCTCAAATCCCTCCTCTCCTTCCGTCGCCACTGCCCTAGATTAAGCTCTTATTTGTGACCTCGCCCTCCCCCAGCGGACCAGTTATCTCTGGTTGGACGGGGATAGGCAACTCAAATTTAGGTACAGAGCCTTGATTTCCCTTCTCTCAAACACGTTTCTCCCTCTGTAAGGTACATTCCAGGAGCCTGGAAGTTCTGTAAACTCTACCTCTGAAGGACTGAGTATACCAGAATCTGCCCCCTTTTCTTCACCTCCGGTGCTAAAACCCAGCCCGTCCCAATCATCTCTCTCCTGAACTTTCAAAATGTCTCAGCTCTTCCCACGTATGGCCTTTGGGTTCCTTGAGTTACTCTCAGAGTAACTAGAATCATCGCGTCCCATTCCTGCTTAAAATCTAGTTCAATCCAGTTTGAAAATGGGCACAGGACAGTAATAGACATTTCGCTGATGTCACATAGCAAATACACACATGAAAAGATGTTCGACATCATTAGCCATCAGGGAAATGCAAAGTAAAACCACAAGGAGGTACCACTTCACACCTACCAGGATGGGTAAAATAAGATTGATAATACCAAGTGCTGGGAAGTGTATAGAGAAACTGGGTTTCTCATATATTCCTGATGGGAATATAAAATGGTATAGCCACTCTGGGAAAGAGTATGACAGTTTCTAAGAAAACTAAACATGACCTTACTTGAATACACCAAGCTTTGAGACCCCTCAGGTCTCAGCTCAGAAGTCTCTTCAGTGAGGCCTTCCCTGACCACCCTATCCAAAGTAGTGGTCCCCAGTCATCTGTCCACCATTAGACTACACCAGAGACTTTTCACCTTCTGAAATGGTTTATTGGTTAGCTTGTTTATTATCTCTCTCTTTACATTTCTGTGGCCCCAAAACTTGAATCAAAGCTCCATGAGATCAAGAACCTTGTTCTTCTTGCCCCCTGCTGTTTCCCCAGCACCTAGCCAAGAATGAATGAATCTGGCAAGTGAATGAACACTTTCCTTACTGCTTTCTCCGGCCTCCCTCCAATTCCTTACCACACTGCAACCAGGGGAGTTTTTAGAAAGTGCAAACCTGGCCAGGTCAATGCCTGGCTTATAAGTCCCCAATAGTTTACTGCCTTCAGTAGCTTCCTGTCCTTAGGACTCCCTGTGTACGCGGCAGGGTTTCTTGGGAAGGCAATGAAATGATGAGTATAAATAAAGCTCCGGTCAACTGTCAGGCTTGGGTTTTATCCTGAGGCCCATGAAGCCACTGAAGTCTGTTGAGCAGGGGAAGCATCTGGCTAATACTAAGGAAGCTCTCTCTCTGTGGAATGTAGGTGGGAAGCAAAAGAGGTAGAAAACAGAGCCCACAGAAGAGGCTGTTGACATGGTTCTGGTTGGGAAGGATAGAGTCCAAAAAGAGGAGAAAGTTGATTCTAGAAATAGACTAGAAAGTGGACTAGCCTTGGTAAACAGTACATGGGGGGAAGATAAAAGAAAGTTTTCTTTCACTCTTCTTAACTTCCTTCCTTTATACAACGAAACTGGGCAAGCAACTTCTCGATGTCAGTGAGCAAGACAGTAAAGATCCCCGTTTTCGAAGAGAGGACATTTAGGGGCAGGAGGCACAGGAGAAGACTAGCAAACTAGCACACTTTGGGATTGGGGGAAGTGCCGGGAAGGAAGTAAACAGGGTCAGAGAGAGCCTGTAAGAAGAAGCAGCGTTTGCACTGAGATGCGAGGGATGAAAAGGAGCTGTTCAGAGGTTCAGAGGAGGGGCAGAGTGGTAGAGGGTTGAGGTGGGAAGTATCGGTGTGGAAGCCTCACTCAGCCCTTTGGGGGCCATGGCTTGAAATGTTTCTTTTAGGTAGATGAAAAGCCACTGAACTGTTCTAAGCAGGAGACTGATATGCTCTAGCAAGAAGGCTGCCTGTGAGGCGGCTGGGAAGCTAATGACAGGATTGGAGAGATGCTGTTGAATGGAAAGCAAAAAAAAAAAAGTCTGGTTTTGCCCCGTTCTTCCCCTGCCAGCCACCCCAGCCTGACCGAAGGGAAGTGGAGGCCCTACCAGATGGAGGGTCCCCTGGGGTTTGCCTGAGGCAAACAGGAAGCCACAGCCCAGTGAGGCGACCCTGGGAACAGGCAACTGAGAAATCAGGTCTCCTGGGTCCCTGGCCCCTTTCCCTGAGTGACTGCCTCAATGAAAGACACAGATACGCATACAGAGAGAGACAGACAGACAGAGAGAGAAGCACAGAGGAAGGAAAAAAAGAGGAGCAGGAGGAGGAGGGAGAGAGATGGGGGCAGAACAGATTTAAGGGTCAGGACTCCTGGGTTCTAGTGCTTATTTTACCGCCTGTTCAATGTGTGATCTCAGGCAACACCTGGGGCTCAGTTTCTTCGTTCCCAAATGGGTTCCTCCTATAACTGAAGAAGGGGCTTTCTGGGGGAAGAACGGGGAGAGAAGGAGGGATTAATCAGTCATTTCTGAGGACTGCTGCAAAGCAGCTACAGTGGTACTCTGGCTTGAGCTCTTAGCCTTTCACTGATGCTGTCTCTCACTAACTGAGGGCCTACTCTGTGCGGGAGCTGGGCTAATACATTATACATCTATTGTCCTATTTAATCTTCACAAAAACATTTTAATAGTACTATTATCATCCCCAGTTTACAGAGAAAGAAACTAAGGCCGAGTAGTAGAGGTGGAGGATTCAAACTCAGGTCTGTCTCTGTGATGGGCTAGTTGTATAGAAGTGGACAGTGGCCCAGGAAGTGTTGGTGGTATGAATAAATTAGGAGTGTGTGTGTGTGTGTGTGTGTGTGTGTGAGAGAGAGAGAGAGAGAGAGAGAGAGAAGGGAGATGGATTTAGAGCCTGAGGCCGAAGGAGGGATGAGTGACTGGATTCACTCATCCAATAAATATTTTGGGGGCATCTGCAGTGTGCCAAGCACTGTTCCAGGGCACCGTGCATACAGTGGTGAACAAGATGATCTGTGCTGCAAGGGGCTTACTCTGGTGGGGAAACAGAAAGTGAGCACTAGACTTAAATAAGATCATTTCACTGGTGGTTAAGTGTTGGGATGAAAATAAGAGTATAGCAGGGAAGAGGGGAGTTTTGTGGGTCTGGAGAGGTGCATGGAGAAGGGGGCCTGAGGCGTGACCACCCCTTCCTCCCCTGGGGGACTGCCCACCCGCCCTCGCAAACACCCACGGTTCAGTGCCCACCAGGCCCCCACCTACCCCAGCATCCCCTGCGCGGGGAAGCTGGGTGCCTCGGGGAGTCTGGCCACCATGCCACCTCCTCTCCTCCTCTTCCTCCTCTTCCTTACCCCCTTGGGAGTCAGGCCCCAGAAATCACAGCTGGTGGATGCTAAAGGTATGTCTGAAGGGCACAGACATAAGGAGTTGGGGCTGGAAACCTGGGTTCTGGCTGGATGCCCTTGGCCAAGTAACTTACCTTCTCTGAACCCCCATCTTCTTAACTGTAAAATTCAGGCCAGGGTTGAAAGGATTCTGAGGGCTCAGCTGCTCCCAGTTGGTGTCTCAGTTGGTGGGGTCTGGGGTCATTGGGTTTACAATCCAGTGTGAGGAATGAAGGGGCTAGGGGCTCCTCTTTCCCCACCTTCTCTCTTTCCACAGAAGGAAGGAGTGCTCTGCTGCCGTGCCTCACGGTTTCCTCAGGTCCTCCCAATCAGCCGTCCTGGTATCGGAAATGCCAGGAATCATTTATACAGCAGAGCAGAGGGCTGCCAGGCCTGGGTGTCCTGCTGCTCATCTTCAACATCTCTGACCAAATGGGGGGCTTCTACCTGTGCCAACAGGGGACTCCTTCCAAGCAGGACAGGCAGTCTGGCTGGACAGTCAGTGTGAATGGCAGCGGTGAGGTCTAGGGTGGGGCGGGGTGGGGTGGGGTGGGGGCTGGAGGGTCTGAAGATCAAGCAGGAAGCCAGTTGTAGGTGGCTCCTAAAAATTCCTGTGGCTTTGTGACTTCAACACTGAACTGCTCAGTACCTCTCCCAGTCTTGTCTCTCTCTGAGACACTGTTTCTCTGTCTCTCTCTGGGTCTTTGTTTCTTTCTCTCTCTTTTCTAAGATTTTATTTCTTTTTATTTTTTAAGAGACTTTATTTATTTATTTTTAGAGAGAAGGAAAGGGGTGGGGAAAGAGAGGGAGAGAAACATCATTCAGCTGCCTCTTCCACGCCCCACAACCCAGGCATGTGCCCTAACCGGGACTCAGACCGGCAGCCACAGAACAGCCCCTCCCCGGAGGGTGTCGTGCCTCACGGTTTGCAGGACGATGCCCAACCCACTGAGCCACACCAGTCAGGGCTCTGGGTCTTTGTTTTTATTTTTCTGGGTCTCTGGATGTCTCTGACTCTCCTGGATGTCTCTGTATCTGGTTCCGGGTTTCTTCCCAGAGGAGCGGTTCTGGTGGAACGCTTCAAACATAGATGCCCCACACTGTGACCTGGGGAACAGGTCCTCAGAGGACCGCAGGCCCTCTTCTGATCGCTTCACGAGCTCCTGGCTGTATGTATGGACTGAAGACCACCCTGAGATTCTGAAGACAGACCCTAACTGTGGCCTACCTGAGGAGAGCCGAAACCAGAGTAAGGAGCTAGGAGAATGTCAGGAAGTGTGGGTGTCCAGGGATAGGGGATGGTGATTGGGTTTGTGGGGGAGGAGATGCCAAGGCCTGTACCTTCTTGGTTCTTCTTGCTCTAGACCTCATCGTGAGACCTGGTGACACTCTTTGTCTGCCCTGTGGGGTGCCTTCTGCCTCCGTGGCCAGAGGACCCATCTCCTGGATCTACGTGCATCCCAATAAGCCTAACAACTCATTACTGACTGTAAACCTGAGCGAGGATGCTTCAGTCAGAGAGACTCGGGTCTTGAACACCCTCAGGGGAGGGGCTGTTCTGTGGCTGCCCCAGGCCACAGCTAGAGATGCTGGCAAATATGATTGTAAGCTTGGCAATACTACCATTGAGATGAAGCTGAAGGTCACTGCCCAGTCAGGTAAGGTTTCTCCCAATTGTGGAACCTGTGTGTAGAACTACTGGGAAGAACTGGAAGCCAGCCAATCTGGGCTCCCCTCGGCTAGTACCAGCTTTAGGCTGAACCCCAACCACCGCCTCTTTCCTTGTCCTTCCAAGATACTACTTTTCTGGGTCTTCTCCCAGCACTGGCTGCGTCTTCCCATCAGCTTTGGTAGAGTCTTCCTTCCTCCCCCACACCTCACCACTGGCGTCCTGAGCCCTCTTCTTATCCCTGTCTACACTCTCTCTTTCTTGTCTACACACCCTTCCTATTTGACCTCCTTTACTTTTTTGGCTCCTTGGGCCACCATGCCTTGGTGACTAGATTCTAGGCTCCAAACCCCCACCCCGAGCCATCTCCTGGAATTGCCATTTGATGTCCCATGAACGCAGCAGGCTCAACATATATAAAAAAAATTAAACTTGACATTTTCCTAAGCATAGTCTTCCGGGTAACCCTGTGTAAATGAATGACACTGCCACCTGATCACATGCCAAAGCCAGGAATTTGGGCATTCTCCCTTTGCCTTCCCTTATCCATCAAATTTGTCACGATGTTCTGGTCCATTGTCTCCCCTAATACTACCCTACCATGCTACCCTAAACACAGTTCTCACACTTAACCTCAACTTTCACTGTAAACTTACCTCAGCACCTTGCTTCATCCCACCTTCAACCTTGTGAACTCGATGCACCCTTCATTTTGACCATGACTGTTCTTAACTGCAGCAGGAAGCTGGTAACCATGCTCGCCTTAATCCTAACATTGCCTCGGACTATAGTCATGGATTTTTGTGGTTTGTGTAATAGACATGGCTCCAGGCCAGGCTGAGGCACCGTCCCTGATCTCAGAGGGAAGCCCTTCTTATGGCTTGGGACTTCAAGGATCTACATCTTGCCCCTGTCCCCCAGATTTATGGCCCTTTGAGGTCTTGAGGCTGGGAAACAAGATGCCAGCCCTGGTCCTTGTCTCATAGCTCCTTCCCCCTAGCAATACGGCATTGGCTGCTGGAGGCTGGCGGCTGGAAAGTCCCTACTACGACTTTACTTTATCTGATATTCTGCATGGGTTCCCTTGCGGTCTTTCTTTATCTTCGAAGAGGTGAGTTATGTCCTCCAAAGAGTCTGCCAAACCTTAACTCTCCCTCCGGAGAGTTCACACTGGCCAGTCAGACAACTGTCTCTCTCTCCTCCCATGCCTGCTCCATGGACTTCAGAATCCTGCCCCTATTCTCTAAACACCCTCTGAACTTCCCTAGCCCCTTGGAACTTAAACTCCCATCTTTTCCATTGACCCAAGTGCCCTCCCCAGCCACTCCCCCCACCCCCCACCCCCTGCAAATCTTCACCTGGACAAGGAGTTCCTCCTCTGATCACTCCCATTAACTCCTGCCAGCCCTGGTCCTGAGGAGGAAAAGAAAGCGAATGACAGATCCCGCCAAAAGGTAATGATGCAGTGCCCCCACAATGTCCAGCTCCTGCACTTTCCACTGATGCTCTGCACCTGCTGTTTCCTCTGCTGAGGGTGCCTCTTCTCCATCTCTGGGGTTGAAATACCACCTAGCCTTCAAAGCCCAGCTCCAAAGCTACCTCTTCTGGGAAGACCTCCTTGGAGTGATCCCAGAGCCTTCTGTTGGCTGTCCCAGAACAAAGGAGCTACCTACAAGTGACCACATTTTAATTTCTGAGGGCCTGGCCTGATTTTTGAGCGTCTCCTGGTGCCCTCCAGGCCTGGCCTTACATTGCGTCTTCCCTCCCTCCTCCAGGTTCTTCAAAGTGACACCTCCCCCGGGAAGCGGGACCCACAACCAATACGGGAATGTGCTCTCCCTTTCCACACCCACGGGTAGCACGGGTAGGAGGCCCGGCCAAGTCTCGGACTCAAAACTAGGGCCCCATCCATTTGACCCATCCCTGAGATCTCCGGAGTTCCAGGCCTCCCCGAACTCCGAGCTCCGCCCCTAGAAAAGAGGCCCCCAGGGGCATGCGAGGTCCCGCCCAGATTTGAGCCCCGCCCCTAGGACCTTAGCCTGCCCCGGCACACAGACCTGAAGTCTTGTTACAAGAGCTAGACTGTGCCCCTAGATTTGAGGCCTCGTCCCTAGATTTAGATCCCGGGTGCCTAGATTCGGAGTTCTCCCGCCAATCCTGAAGCATCCTCTCCCGTCGTCCAGCTACACAGAGACCCTTAGCTCTGACCGCCCCCATCTCTTCTCACTCGCCCCCTACAACGCTCCTCACTCCAGGACGCTCCCTGCAATGGGCTGCAGGCCTGGAGGCCGCAGTCCAGTCCTACGGAAACCCTTGCAGCGACGTCCAGGAGGCTGGTGCAGCGAGGACCCGGAGCCAGACAGAAGCTGGTGATGGTGGACGGGTCTTTACTCATATAGGGGGTGTTGAAGCGGTCTGTCTGTGACAGGAGTAGTTGGCCGCGGGCCTGGAGGAAGGAGACCGTGACTCGGGTCCCACCCCTGTCCCCAAACCTCAGGCCCAGAAGAAGAAGGGGAGGCCTATGAGGAGCCGGACAGTGAGGAGGGCTCAGAGTTCTACGAGAATGACTCCAACCTTGGGCAGGATCAGCTCTCCCAGGGTAAGACTGCCCTCTCCCTTGGCTCCCCCACCTTCTCAGCAGGGGGTGGGGGTGCTGTGGACCCTCGCTGGACCCCACTCCTTCTCCACCAGATGGCAGCGGCTATGAGAACCCTGACGAAGGCGGGGCCTTGGGTCCTGAGGATGAAGACTCCTTCTCCAATGGTAATTTGCGGTCCTGGTGGAACCTCAGAGACTTGGGAGGACCCACAGTGCTGTGGAGCCCCCACAGGGCAGGAGTGGTCCCTGGAGTTCTCTCTTTTTTGTTTTTCCCCTGCAGCATCTGAGTCCTATGAGAATGAGGATGAGGAGCTGGCCCAGCCAGTCGCCAAGACAAAAGGTGTGTGTGGGAGGATGGTCACATTCCAGAGGAGTGTGAGTGGTGGTGGTAGGGATGGTGTGTGTGACCTGGGGGCGGGGAGGAACAGTGACTCCCCTCTTCCTTCTCCAGACTTTCTGAGCCCCCATGGGACAGCCTGGGACCCCAGCCGGGAGGCAGCATCCCTTGGTGAGAAATGCTTGGGACCTGCCCCGCTTTCCCAGACTGGGTTGACCTGGCCTCAGCTCTAACTCTAGGCAGAACCCTGACCTTGACTTTGACCAAGAACTCAAGCCCAATCCTGACCTTAGATTTGACTCTTACCTCTAATCTCAACATTTACCCCCACCCTAATCCTGATTCCAGTATTTACCCCATCCCTAACCCCAATCCAGCTGCAGCCTGGACTTTGACCCCCACCTTTCCCCAGCCCCAGCGCAGACTTCAGCTTTGAACCCAGCGCTCTCTACAGCCAACCTCCTCATGACTCTTTGACTCCTTCCACTTCTGTTCTTGACTATTTCTCTGACCATGACCATAATCTAACCTGCACCTGACTGAACCCTACAATTAACAAGAGCCCCGAACCTTATGCTGACCCTAGTACAACATGGGTCAGTCCTTCCACCTCTCGCCGCCCCTCAGACTCCCTCCCTATCTTAGGCTGAGCTTGCCTTCCCCAAGCCCCCAGCGTGGCTCCCAAGCCTCCAACTCTCTGTCTCCTGCCCACACAGGGTCCCAGTCCTATGAGGATATGAGAGGGATCCTGTATGCAGCGCCCCAGCTCCGCTCCGTTCGGGCCCAGCCTAGTCCCAGTCATGAGGAAGGTGGGTGCTTCTGCTATTCCCTGTTGTCCTCTGAGGCTGACCCTCTCCTAGGGCTACTTCCAGCTCTGTCTGTGTTTCACTCCTTCCTGGTCCTAACCAGATGCAGACTCTTATGAGAACATGGATAATCCCGATGGACCAGAACCAGCATGGGGAGGAGGGGGCCACATGGGGACCTGGAGCACCCGGTGATTCCCTTCAGGTGAGCTGAGGACTGCTCTTGCAGAAGGGGGAGAAGGAGGGAGATGATGAGCAGGGATGGAAGTAGAGTTCTGGCTCTCAGGGAGGGAGAGGAGAAAGGGTTCCCAAGGCCTGGTGGGCAGGGGGAGGGCTCCTAGACTCCTCCCCATTACAGTTTTTTCTGCATAGCCTGGCCCTCCTCAGGTTCCTGAGATCCACTGAAATCTGGTGACCCAAAGCAGATGAGGCCAGCCTTGAGCGACGTTGCTCAGGATGTGAGAATCTGTTTGTATTCGTGTACACAAGTGAGACTTCCAGTTCCCTTTGCACTGGCCAAATAAACTCTGCGAGTTCTTGCAATCCTGTGATGTGGTGCCCTTGTGTGGGAGGGGAAGGGAAGGTGAGGATAGTTGTACTCCCACCCTCTCTTGAATACAGTAGGGGAGGGAGAGCTGCATCCTGGGCACTACAGGACTTTTTCCTTCCTGTGGCTTGGCCTGCACCCATGTCCCCTACTTGCCGGCCATTGCCACCATCCAGTTATTCAACTTTTGTCTGTTCAGCAATTGTATTGTGGGTGTGCGGTGAAAAGGAAGCAATCCAGGAATTGGCAGTCACCACTGACATTTTTGAACACCTACTATGTTCTAACATCAATTAGCTTGTTTAATAATCTTTACAATAACCTCACAAGGTTATTAAGCACTAACGTGCCAGGATTTTCAGAGTATTTTATGTGTTTTACATATATATTATATATATGCATGTTTATGTATATTAGCTAATTATATCTTCACAGGCATCCCTATTTCATAGATGAGAAGACTGAGGCAGAGAAGCTAAATAACAAGGGGTCTGGTCTTGAACTCTGGCAGTCTAATTCTAAAGCCTATACTCAATCTTGACACTCTCCCTTCCTAGGTGCAATTCTGCAGATGGGAAACCAGGTGTCAAAGGGCCAACTAACATGTTTAAGGTCACACAACTAGCACTTCAGAGCTGGATCTGAATCCAGAAATCTGGCCACAGTGCTGGCCACTGTGCCTACCTCCAGATCAATTGCCTGCTTCTGATATAAACCATGAACACAGGGACTTTCAGAACTAAGTCTCCAGGCCCTGAAACCATTGAGCAGCAAGCTCCACCACACCCAACTTCTTGCCTCAGGCAGAGGCAGAATCAGTCTGTGGCAGTCCTGTTGTCGTCTGCCAGGTCTTCCCAGCTCCAGTGCCCTCCTGAGACCCAGGACTGGCCTCTGATACCCATTCCCTCTCTGGTCAGGAAGCATCGATGTCTTTGCAAGGCTCTAGACTTTTTCAGTATCTACATTTTTACTTCTAGAATTTCTTTTCCTAATGTACCAGCTCTTTCTTCCTAATATCCTATTTTTGTTTTAGAGACTCTACTCCTTCTTTATCTCTAACCCTTTAAAACTTACTTCATCTCTGACCCTTTAAAACTTACTTTAACACTATCATTATGTGCCAGGCATTGTTCTAAGAAGTGCTTTACAGCTAGCATCTCATTTTATCTTTATAACCTCCTATGAAGAAGGTACTCTAAAATTATTGTCAATTTACAACCGAGAAGGCTGAGGCCCAGAAAAATTAATTGCTTGCTGACCTTAGGTAACATACCTGAACTCCATGACCCTCAGCTTTCCCAATGATAAAAGAGCAGTAGGGGAGAGGCGCGATGTTGGTTACTACTATGTGTACAGCGGCGTGAATTCTCCTATGGCGGTGTTACCATGGGAGGTTTCTTTGACTTCTCTGTGTTTCTCCGGTCTTCGGGAATCCCATGAGTTACCTAGGCCCCACTGCCACTCCCTGGGGCCACCTTGCTTTGGCTTGTGCCACAGTCTTACAGGCTACACAGGTTTCTGACGATTATATTCACGAGTTTCTCAGCAGGTGTTTGCACCTGAGGCTTGGCCTGAATCCAAGTTCATACTGTGGTGGTCCTTGGGATTCTGATTTTCTGCTGTGACTTTTTCCATCCACTGCCTATTGGGTGGTTTGCTTCCATGTTGCACCTCAAGGCACACAAATGGATTTTTTCCTTTGTGTTGTCTGCTTAGAAGAGACAACCCTTTCTCAGCTCCCAGCCTTGTGCAGTGCACTCAGTTTCTGCCTCCACCTTGACCTCTGTCCCCAGTCCTAGGCATCCCAGCTTTCCTGCGTGTTGCTTGACTTGAGCCCCCTCTCACTGTTGCAACTTTGCTTTCCTTCTTTATTTCTAGCATCGGGAAGATTCTGTCTAGCCTTTGAGCTCAGAGGTATCTTTAAAAAGAAAGCAAGAAAACAATACTCCATGTTATATTTTGTGTAGTGTATGTTTGGAGTGTGGGTGGTGGCATATGAATCTCCAGCATTTCCTTGGGTTTCCATCTTGAACACACTCCCCATTGCAAAACATAAAAAATAAAAATAAAAAGATCCAGTTTAGCATCCACACTCCCACCTCACCTTTCAGCTAAAATAAGCTGTCCATGTTGCCATAATCCCTGCCATTCCCTGTTCCCTTCCATCCAGGCTGCCTCATTCCTTTAGGTTTCCTGCCTGAGCCTGAAGCATTTGAGCATGCAATTCCTGGTGAAAACATCCTGCCTTCTTGAGAGTAAACCCTGTCTGAGTCTTCTCTGTGTCCCTGGTACCCAGCCAGTGGACGGAGTGGGAAAGGAGGAGTGAGTAGAGGAAGGCCCTGAGATTCAGGGTGCAGAGGATGGAGACACTCTTGAGGACTCTGCCACCCAGGGAAGTCCTGGGCGGGGCGGTTGAGGAACAGAGGTGTGCCCACCCCAGCCCAGTGTTCTGGAATCAGACTATCTGAGTTTGAATCCCCTCTCTGGCTGTGTGACTCAAGCTCTTTGTGCTACAGGTTCCTGGTTTGTAAAATAGGGATAATAAATATCCCTATTTTAAGCTACCTTAATGAGTCTTAGATGTAAAGCACAGGACAGTGGCATAGTGAGCACTGAAACATTAAGTATTATTATTATTATTATTAGGCATTTATTAAGGGTGTACTGTGTGCCAGGAGCCAGAGGGCACCCAGACCATTGGGATTGGGCCTTCCTTTTAGGTGGCTGTCTACCCAGGAGAAAGCCATACTCCAGAACTTCTCAACTTCCCACTCCGTAAGATCTGGTTTTATGACAAGGGCTGGACCACTTACAGCCACTGAGGAAGGTTTAGGGAGGAGGCTTGAGGGAAGTTTCAGGCCTTTATGGCCACACCCTTCTTCCATAGTTTGCAGTGGCCTCCCAGGGGGGCCCAAGGCTGGCAGAAGGGCTTTTGGTGCAATCTATATCCTTCCAGCATGGCTATAAAAAGTGGCTGAAGATTTCCTGGGAGGGAGAGGTCCTTGTTCCCGGGAGCCTAGGAACTTGTTCCCCCAGGAAATAGCCCCACCTGCTGGGGATGTGCACCCTTAGCCTTGGCCTGGCAAATCCACAGGGAGGATTTGAGATGATGTGGGCTTGCTGCATCGGGGTATATGTGTGGGAGATAATCAGTGCAGCAGAGGAGAGGGATGGGATGGGATGTGCGTGGTGGTTGAGATGCTGCACAGGGTGGATGTGTGAAGTACATGTTATGTGAATATTATGTGTATGAGAGGCAAGTAGCATTGAGTGTATGCTGTGTGGGTATCATTGATGGAATATGGTGTGAGATGTCAGAGGCCATGCAGTTGGAGGCGATGCTGGAGATGCGCAGTGTTGAAGAAGTGTGTTTGCTGTGTTGGGTGCACGTTGTGCAGGAATTGTGAATAAGGTAGACGTGTGGAGGATGTGTAGCCTCTGAGTGTGCAATGTTCTTGGTGGGTGTTGAGAAATACAATGAGAAAACAAAATCTTCTCCTAACCCAGAAAACCCTTCCATAAAGGCACCATATTTTGTTGTGTATAATGAGCACTTTTTGCCCAAATTTTTGAGGAAAAAATAAGAATGTGCATTATACATGGGTAGTACTGATTCTGTATCCATATAGATGTTTTTAATTATTTTATTTATGCTTATGTGTTAAAAGTGTAACTCTAGAGAGCAATAACGATACCCATATGCAAAACAATACCCTTAAATATGATAATCAGTTTTGTTTCTAAGTATAAATAAATAAATAATGCTTGAAATAAAAATTTGAAAGTTTTTTTTCCTGAAAATTTGGGCCACAAACGTGAGTGTGCATTATACATGGCAAAATATGGTAGTAGAGACTAGAAAACATTTTTTAAAATTAAATAAGCATTTGCCCTGGCTGGTGTGGCTCAGTGGATTGAGTGCCGGCCTCAGAACCGAAGGGTCATCCATCCATTCATTGATTCCCAGTCAGGGCACATGCCTGGGCTGCAGGTCAGGTCCCCAGTAGGGGGCGCACAAGAGGCAATCACACATTGATGCTTCTCTCCTCTGACCCTCTCTCTAAAAATAAATAAAATCTTTGAAAAATATTTTTAAAAAGTTTAAAATGAAGTAAACGTTAAACCAAAATGTGATTCACATCACAGGCAATCCACTAAGAGATTGCAAAGGCAGAAAGAAATCTCACCCTTTTCAATAGCCAAACAGGTACAACCCATTATCTGGTTTTCAAGATAAATAATGACTATGCTTCAAGTAAGAGGACTTGACAACACCTTTAGTCACACATAGTCCATCCTAACTTTATAATGGCAATCGGCTTTTACGGTAGGAGGGGGAGAAACAAACTTCTCGTGGGGAGGTACTTTTGTATATTGCAGCAAGGCTCTGACCAAAGTTAGGCAGTTATTCTTCCACAGGAACTGAGGGGTAGAGAGCTACCTCCCGTGATGTTTGCCTTTTAAAAAGATGGCTCCCGGTCCCGGAGTTCCGGGGTTATGAGACTGGCAAGAGGCTTATTTAGCCATTATACAGATTTACATACATTTGAAAAGTTCTGAAAGAAAAGGGAACGGAGAGGAGTCACGTCCCTTATTTTCAACAGTGGGAATCGAGGCTCTTATTTTTCATTTGTATCGTGGGAGGATGCTGCAGGGGTGTAGCTATGTTAACACTGTGTGTGAAGCGTATCTGTGGAGATGTCTGGTGTGAGGGAGGGTTTGTATACTTTGGAGGCAATTCAGAGAGCTGAGTGGTGTCAGGTGGTCCAGGGTGAGGATTCTGCACACGAGGAGGGTGTGTGTGTGTGAGAGTGGGTGACACTGCGCCGGATCTCGCGTTTGGGAGAAACACTAATGGGGACATGGTTAAGTGTAAGGCCTAATTCCAAAATTCCATTTTTTTTCCCTTCCCCAAAACCTGTAGAGAATTTTTATGAGTTTGAGCCAAACTGACCACATATGCCAGGTGGGGGTGGGGTGGGGGCGGTGGTCGGGCAAGATCTCAAATGCTCTCCTACTTGCACGATTTCTGATAGCAATTTCCAGTCCACTTTCTTCCATCCTTTAGGCTTGAGGACTACAATTCCCAGGCTGCCGGGCTCCTCCACCAAACAGGAAAACGGATCTCTGAAGTGGGCGGGGCTGGGAGAAGGCTGGTCGAAGTGAGCCAGCCAATGGTTGATCCCCAACGAATTGAAACTTACGCTGATTGCCCTCAGGCCTACTGGAATCTTTGGCGCCTTGGTTTTAGTGGTGGATGTGTGATGAGCGAGTGAAACGACCAGTGAAAAGGCTGGGAGGTGGCTACAGCGAGCGTGGGCGGAGAAGCGTGATGACTAGCAGACGGTTCTGCCAATGAAGGGCGGGAGGCTCTGGAGGGGGCCGGGTGAATAACCTAGAAGCGGGCGACTTTGGCAGTCGGGTGTGTGCCATGGCGGAGCCGGTGAGGAAGCGGGGTCGGTGGGCCCGAGGCAGCTGTGTCGGCCGAGGAACTCGGGGGACCCGGGGCGGCCGGGGCCTGCGACCTGGCGCCCAGCGGTCTCCAGCCCGGAGCTCCGTGGATTCGGTACTTGTGGACTTGGTCAGCGACAGTGATGAGGAAATCCAGGAGGTTTCAACGACGCACGGCGCAGCGGACCCGGTCGAGGTCCCGCTCCCCGAGTCCCCCGGACCGGCCGCGCTTCGGGACGACAGCGACAGTGACAGCGAAGGGGCGGACGCACGGCCGGCTGGAGCCCCTCCGGCCCTGGTCAGGCGGCGGCGGCGGCTACTGCTGGATCCGGGGGAAGCACCGGTGGTTCCAGTGTACTCCGGGAAGGTGTAGCCGGGTTCCCGGGAGTGTTAGCGCGGAAGGGCTGTTTAAGAAGTACTGAGGCTAGGGTTTTAGGTTTGGTGATGGGAGACTAACCCAAGCAAGAGCTAGGGCCTTGGAGGCAGAGAGATGCAGGGTTCTTGGCGTTTCTGCAGACTGGGGAGATGGAGTTTGAAGTGTGTTGGCAGTTTGGGAATCTCGTCGGGGGTATAGAGAGGCTGTGGGGCTGGCATCCCTGAGGATTCAGAGGCGCTGGGAGGGACTGGGGTTTGAGGCATGCTCGGTTTTGAGGTTGGGGCCCGTTGCTAAAGCAACCTAGTGAAAAAGTAGAACTGAGTCTGTATCCTCAGAGTACCTTAGGGAAAGGGGGGATTAGGAGTAAGGGCACTCCGAATTGGATCCTGGCAAAACTGGGCTCCTGAGTCCTGGGAGAAAGCTGTGCTATCTGTATACTTAGAATTTGGGAGCCGGAGGAAGCCTGGATGTGAGGGAAGAATTATCCTGTTTTCCCTTTCAGTGGAGGGAGGACTTGGGCTGATCCACTTTTGTCTTTGCAGGTGAAGAGTAGCCTGCACCTTATCCCAGATCACCTGTCCCTCCTGAAACTGTGTCTCCCAGGGACAGAGGAAGGTAAGGTAGGGCTTCCAGGAAGAGATGCCCAGGGCTGGCCTCCCTGAGGAGACTTGGGGGGGTTCAATATCCCTGCAGTTAGCTGTTTCCTGCAGCTCAGGGAAAGGCATAGGAGAGGTGACTCCTGCATCCTAGCCAGGGAAAAGAAACAAAACAAAACAAAACAAAACAAAACAACAACACTCCAGTCCTGAAAGGGGCAGAATTGTTAATCAGAAGGCACAGGATGTAACTGTCAACCATTCTTCTCCCAACTCTAATAAGCATAAGAGTCTGCTAATAGATACATTTGCAGACCCCTTCCCTGGAGATTCTGATTCTATAATCCTGGGGACAAGGGACGGGGAGGTGTTGAGAATCTGTAACACCTTGTTACATCTGCAACAAGTCCCTTGGGAACACTCTGGAGACAACAGGGTGTTCTTTGAGTCTTATCAGGGCCGCCCAGCCTTTGTCCTTCCCCCATAAAGTGATTTTTGCCACCGTCCAAGGACAGTGACTAGGAATCCAGTTTCATTAAGGAAGCGGTTCAGTGGGTAAATGCAGACCATGGACCACATCTTCTGTATCTTGGGGGAGTATGGTAGGGTGATGAAGAGCTGATTTAGGAATGGGCTGGTCTGGGTTTAAATCTCAGTTCTACTCCTTATGAACTTGGGCAAGTTAATCTCTCCGTGTTTTCCATTTCCTTATCAGGAAAATAGTGATAATCGTGGACCTATGTCAAAGGATTTTACTGAGAATTAAACAAAGAGAAATAAAGAGAACCTTTTCTTGGGCTGCATATATAGTTTTGGATAGTACCTGGCATGTAGGCACTATGTAAAATGTACCTCTTCCTTGCTTCTCAAAAGGTGGGCTCAGCTCGAGCCCCACCAGTGCAGGGGGAAGCCCATCAGCCCTATACTTAAAATGTGGGCCCAGTAATGTTGGCCATCCCCTGGGAGCTTATCAGAAATGTAGAATCTCAGGCCATTGGCAGCTGCCATGTTTAGCTAGGACAAGGTTTCTTAACCTCAGCACAACTGACATTTGGGCTGGATAATTCTTCGTTGTGGGGGTCCGTTCTGTGCATTGTAGTGTGTGTAGCAGCATCCTGCCCTCTACCCACTGGATACCAGCGCCACAGCCCGAACTCCTCCCTCCCCCAATTATGACAACAAAAATATTCCCCAGATACTGCCACCTGTCCCCTGGGAGACAAAATTGCCTCATGCTGAGATCCACTAATGTAGGATTTATTATCATTGTTTTGTTTACACAGTACTTATTTTTATGGGTAATGACCGTCTTTTATTGGTGGCAAGCAAATAGAAAAGAGCCTTTATATTCTAGAATAATACCTGGTTTCTGATCATTTCACTGGGTACACAAATACTGAATCATTGTGCTGTACACCAAAACTAATATAATGTTATATGTCACTTATGCCTCAATAAAAGGGAAGAAATATCTACTTTCCCTTTATAAATAGGAATTACCGTATTTTGCTGTGTATAATATGCTCTCATGTATACTGTGCACCTTGGTTTTGGCCCAGACTTTCAGGGAAAAAATTTGTTACTTTAATTTTTTTGAAGATGTTATTTGTTTATTTTTAGAGAGAAAGGAAGGGAGGGAGAAAGAGTAGGAGAGAAACATGAATGTGTGGTTGCCTCTCACATGCCCCCTACTGGGGACCCAGGCTACAACCCAGGCTTGTGCCCTGACTGGGAACTGAAGCAACAATCCTTTGGTTCGCAGGCCAGCACTCAATCAATCCACTGAGCCACACCTGCCAGGGTCGTTTTAATTTTTTAATTCAATTATTGATTTATTTATATTTAGAAACAAAACTGATTATCTTATTCCAGGTACTATTTTGCATACAGATATCATTATTGCTTTCTAGAGTTACACTTTTTTTTTTTAAGATTTTATTTATTTATTTTTTAGAGAGGGAAGGGAGGGAGATAGAGAGAGAAACATCAATGTACGGTTGCTGGGGGTCATGGCCTGCAACCCAGGCATGTACCCTGACTGGGAATCGAACCTGCGACACTTTGGTTCGCAGCCCGCGCTCAATCCACTGAGCTATGCCAGCAAGGGCTAGAGTTACACTTTTAATGCATAAGCATAAATAAAAGAATTAAAAAAATATAGATATGGAATTAGTACTATCCATGTATAATACACATCCTTATTTTTCCCTCAGAAATTTGGGCAAAAAAGTGAGCATTATGCACAGCAAAATATGGTAAGTGATTTAAAGAAAGATACTGCCCTGAATGGTGTGGTTCATTTGGTTGGGCATAGTTCCACAAAGCAGAAGGTTGCCCTTTTCATTCCCAGTCAGGGCACATGCCTGGGTTGCAGGTTCGAGCGCAGGTCAGGGCAGTTAGAAGAGGCAACCGATGGATGTTTCTTTCCCTCTCTTTCTCCCCCTCTTCCCCTCTCTTCCCCTCTCTCTAGAAAAAAATAATTAAAAAAAAAGAAAGATACTAAATAATAATGCAGAGATATGGCCAAATGTGATAATGATACACACGTGGATGAAATTTGAGAAACATGGGCTTAGAGGGTGGATATTACTTCTTTACCTCATTCTCTTCTTACCCCAATGCCCGACTTACAGAGTCTCTCTCTGTGCCCACCAAGTTGAGTGCATTAAGAAAATGAAAATATTTTTTAAATCATACTTTGTGAACAACAATTAAAAAAAATTAAAAAAACATACTTTGACAACATGTTTTAATGTATGTTTTATAACATACATAACAGTGCAGTAGTACATAATACTAGTAGTATTATAATTGTATCATTAAATAGTATAATAATATTAGGTAAATATATTTTTTCTGGGTTGTGTGCTTGGTACTTTTTATTTGTGGGATACAAGTGACTGAAAAAGCGAGGACACTGCTTTGGCTGGAGTGGGCCACGCTTGCTACACTCTCTCCTACCTCATGTCTCATGCATGAGGCTGGGACACTTGCCTGCTCTCATCTTTCAGACTCTGGCTTGTGCTTTTGTCTGAGTCAGGCATTTCCTTTTTGACCCATGTCCCTTCGGCACTTCCCTAGCATTGTGATGTGGTCCTATGTGCCTGGGGTCCCCACAGTCCCCTCCTTTCTGAGACCTACTGAAGGCGGGGACTTGTATCTTCTTTCCTTGGCCTCTTGCTGCCCTCTTGGCTAACCCTTTACATGGTCTCCTCTGTCCCCAGAGGAGGATATGGCAGATTCTAGCAGTCCCCATGCGGAGGATCCCCCAGTTCCAGAGTCTCCCTGGAAGAAGAAGCTGAGGAGTAAGGCTGAAGAAGGAAACAAGAAAAAGAAGGTGTCTCCGTGAGTGGGGCCGGGGCACTGAGGCCCCTGAGGCCCCAGGAGCGGGAAGGGAATTGGAGGGGCAGGCTGAGGCCACAGGACCCTCGGGCAGCTCTTGAAGGAGTAAGGAAAAGGGATAGAAGGAGTGTTGTGGCCCAGGTGAGGAATGAGGCTCTCAGGAGAAGAGGTGGCCCACACGAGAGGATGACAGTGGGCCCTCCAGGACTGCCCGTGGGAGTGGGGGTGATTCCTCTTTGTGTCTGAGATGGTAGTAATGCAGGGGGCGAGGGTGTGGCTCTGGAGACCGCCCTTGTGCACATCTAACCACCTGCCTCTTGATGATCCTCTCTGCTTACTTTCCTGTTTGTAAAATGAGGATCATAGTGGTACCTGTGTCGGAATTTTTGAGTAGATTGAGAGTTAATACTTGGCATACAGTAAGTGCTTGGTGTTAGCAGAAACATTCATCTGCAAAATGACTTACCAGTAAGAATGCCGCTCAGGTCTCCCCTCTTGTTTCCTCTCTTTGTCCTCCAATAAGATGGATGTTACTGGAAGGTGTTCCCTCTTGATTCTCCAACTCCCCTCTGTTCCCAGGGGTCCATAGCCCATGAGGAGAGGTGTGGGGCTGGGGTCTCTCCTCTTCCTCCATCTTGCCTTTCTCTTCTCTCTGCAGGGCTCAGGACACCTCCCCTTTGCCCCCATCTCCACCAAGGACCAAAAGCAGAAAACATACCCGGGCACTCCGGAAGTTAAGGTGACAGGGACAGGAGGCTATGGATGCTGTGGAGAGGGTCAGTGCGGAGGTGTCCCACCCCAGCTGACATGAAGTCCTTTTTGCACCGCAGGGAGGTGAACAGGCGCCTCCAGGATCTCCGTTCCTGCTTGAGTCCCAAACAGCGCCAGGGCCAGGACCAGCTGAGCCAAGATGATGAGGTGGTCCTTTTGGAGGGGCCCGTCCTCCCAAGGAGCCCCCGTCTCTTCCCACTCAAAATCCGGTGCCGTGCTGACCTGGTCAGGTTGCCTGTCAGAATGGTAAGTGCTTGAAGGACCTGCAGGAGAAGGGCCCCGGTGCTGCCTACGGAGGGGCTGCCCGTGGTGTCTGGGCAGAAGGGACTGTGTCTTCCTTTGCCCGCCCTGCTCTGTGGATCTGCCCAGCGCTCTTTCAGGCTTCCGTGCCTTTGTGCTCATTATTTCCCTTGTCCGTATTGTCTTCCTTACTCCCTCTCGTGCTGGTGCATTTTTCACCCATTTTTCAAGGCTTCATGTAAGCATCCTAAGAAGCTTTGCTTGGTAGCCCCTTCCCCAGGGTATGTACCTCTCCTTCCTTCCCTGAGACCCTGTGCTTCCCTCTCGCTTAATGCTCTTAATGTGCTTAATGCTCTTACTGTATTAAACACACAGATGTTTCTCAGTCATTCTGAGCTCTCCCACCTTCCTAGTAAAGACTACTATTTTTGTGGGGATGATTCTATCCAGAAATAAGACTGATAATAGAAATAAGCCATAACCATGCATTGGCAAGCAACTAAGCCAGAGGTTGCAAACTGGCAGCCCATAGCCTTAAAACAGCATCTTCTTTTTGGCCCGGGAGAATGCTTTGAAAACATAGGGGTTTATTGTCGGCCTTTGCATTGGGTGATTTTGCTGGATTCCTTCTAGTCTGGCTTCTCTTAAATAGGAAGACGTAGCCACGGCAGCTGAATTCTCACCCGGCACCGGTCAGCTGGAACTGCGGAACAGCTGGCCCGTCTGGATGGGGCATGCGGGCTGCACTTTGCTGTAGTCCCCGCAGTCCCTTTTTTCCTCCATTCGTGGTTACTTCATTTCTTTGTGTTACTTGCCTGAACCCCTCATTGGTATGATTGTACTCTATATTTTCCCAGGTAAATATGATGAAGCTCAAAGCTAAGGAGCTCAGCGAGTAGCAAAGGCCATAAACTTATTTGGGGGGTGGGGTGGGGTGGGGCGCATCAAGGCAGGAAGTCCTCCTTTGCTTCTTATTATCCTCCCTAGTCGGAGCCCCTACAGAGTGTGGTGGACCACATGGCCACCCATCTTGGGGTGTCCCCAAGCAGGATCCTCTTGCTCTTTGGAGAGACAGAGCTGTCCCCTACTGCCACTCCCAGGACCCTAAAGCTTGGAGTAGCTGACATCATTGGTGAGAGGAAGGCAGGGAGGTGGAGCCTTGAGAAGGCTTTTGCCACAGGGAGGGGGAAAGAGGAAAGGCCCAGCGAGGGCCCTGCTTCCGACCCGACCCGTGCTGAGGCCTGGCGACCTGGTCCTGCCTCCCACAGACTGTGTGGTACTGGCAAGTTCTCCAGAGGCTGCAGAGACATCCCACCTGCTGCAGCTGCGGGTGCAGGGGAAAGAGAAACACCAGATGCTGGAAGTCTCGCTGTCTCGGGTGAGTGGAACAGATGATTCTCTTTGTCCCTTATCCTCTGCCGTCTGTCTTGTCAGTTAACTGAGGATAGATTCCTTCTAGTCCTGATTTGTCGGAGACTGCCCTCCCTGGCCTTGGGTTCCCCCCCGTCCTAGATAGTGGAAGAAGCCCATTGTTCAGCTTCCTTTCTCCTCCTTCTGCTGGAAACCTCTGCTCTAGTCTCCTTCTCCTCCTTCTGGTTGAAATGGAAAGGACCATTCCTGGCTGGGTACTCAGTTGGTTAGAGTGTTGTCCCAGTATGCCAAGGTTGCGGGTTGGATCCCCGGTGAGGGCACCTACCAGAATCAAGTAAGTAGAACAACAAATCAATGTTTTCTCTCTTTCTCTGTCTTCTCCTTCCTCTTTCTCTCTAAAATAAATAAAATAAAATAAATTAAATTTTTTAAAAATGGAAAGGACCCTTGGACAATAACCACCAAAATCCATCAAAATAACAATTAAAGCCACACTTCTAAGTGACAGATGCTGCTCCAAGAATAAGCACTTCACCTTGAGGAGGATATTGTTGAATTTCACAATAGTCTTGTGTGGTGAGACACCGTTACTCTCAATTAACCAGTGAGACAGTGGGGACCTGCATAGGTGTGGTGACTTGCTGTACCAGTGTCCTTGGGCTGCTGTCACAAAGTGCTGCAAACTGGGTCGCCTAAAGCGACAGAGATGTGCTCTGTCACCGTTCTGGAGGTTAGGAATCTGAAATGAAGGCACCAGCGGGGTCATGCTACCCCTGAGACCAAGGAAAATCTTTTCTTGCCTTTTCCAGCTTCTGGTAGTGGCCGTCGGTCCTTGGCAGTCCTTGGCTCGCAGCTGCATCCCTCCATTCTGCCGTTTTCGTCTCAGGGCATTCTCCCTGTGCGTCTGTTTTCTCTTCTTACAAGGACGCCAGTCCTGCTGCGTCCATGCTCACCCTGATCCAGAACGATCTCATCTTAACTCGATTACATCTGCAAAGTCCCTACTTCCGAGTAAAGTCACATTTACATTTACCAGGAGTTAGGACCACAAAGTTTGTCTTTTTTGGAGGGGACACTTTGAAATTATAACACTCGCCTGAGGTCACATGTCCAGGCAAGTGGGGGAGCCTGGCCTTGAGCTGCGACCATCCCCGCCCCAGAGTCTGGGCGCTCCACTCCGCAGGAGGGTGTGCCTCTGTGGTGGGCAAGGAGACCGGGACGTGGAGGTCCTGCCTGACCCAGCGCCTCAGCCTAAGCCTTGGGCTCTGTGGCCTGGGTCCCTAGAGAGGAACCAACTCTACTGGCCTTCCCCTCCATAGGCACTGACTTTACTTGTCCCCCTGTCCTCCCTGTCCCAGGGCCTCTGACCCTACAAGTTCCCCCCAGCTCCTCTTTTCATTCACGTTCATTTTTTCCTGCCTGTCCAGGATTCTCCTCTCAAGACCCTCATGTCCCGCTATGAGGAGGCCATGGGACTCTCCGGCCACAAGCTCTCCTTCTTCTTTGACGGGACAAAGCTTTCAGGCATGGAGCTGCCGGCTGACCTGGACATGGAATCGGGGGACCTCATTGAGGTCTGGAGCTGAAACCCCACTCCTTATTGGGAGGCCCAGCTCGACTTGGGGAGAATGGCTGTCCCCTTTTGGCTCTATAAGGGCTGGCTGGAGCTGAGGTGGAACTTATCTTTCAGCTGAAGCAAAATCAAGGCGTGGTATCTGATCTCCTCTCCCGTGGACCCTGGATTTAAGCTGTTAGTTACCTGCTTAGTTGTTTGGTCCTCACTGCTGCCCTGGGCAGACCATCTCCATTCACACGGTGTGTTGAGTTGCACAACCTCCTGGGACACCCCTCACTCCCACCCTTTCCTTCACCAGAATGTCTGTTTTGAAATGAAATTGCTCATGTTTGAAGAGGGAGTTGATAAATTGGGCCTGAGAATGGGATTCCAGGCCTGGGACTCACGCCACATCTAGGGCCAGCGGTGGCCTTAGCTTCATTAGGGGGTAGGTAGTGAAGTTTGCTTGTGGCACATACACCTGCGTGGTTCCTTGGCTTGCAGGAAAATAAATGATCGAGCTTGCATATGCACAAACTTAAGCACAGGACTGTGGGTTACTCCTTTAAAGGGTATTGAAGGGCTCAGCCTTGGGTGTCTAACTCACCCTGGGACCCTTGGCAGTCCCTTTCTGATGCGCACACATTATTTGAGGCACAGTTGAGCACAGGGGGCCTTTGGTTTCAGATCTCAGATTCTAGTCCATGCAAGTCTTCTCTGGTCTTAATGGCTTTTCTCCCCTTCCTCTCCCATAAGCACCGAGCTAGGGTGTTGATTGCATGTCTTTGAATATGAATGTGTCCTCGTAAAATGCGATACTGCATGTGTGAACATCCTCCTTATATATGTGGGTTTGTGCTATAGATGTTGTGTGGCTTTTCTTTTGACTCAACGCGTGCTGCTTGTTTTACACCTGCTTCAAACTGATCTCCAACATTCCGCAGTGGGCGTCAGCTGCGTGTTGCTCACCTGTTCACTGGCGGACTCCCAGGTGACTGCAGCCTCGGGTTCCTACAACATCTTGGCATGTAGACGAGGCCACGGAGATCATCTTGTTATGTGTCTCCTTCCGTGCCTGTGTGGAAAGTTCTCCAGCATAGGTACCCGGGTGGGATTACAGGTCAGGCAGGTTAATTTATCTATGGTCCTGCCAAATTTCTCTTTAGATGGTCACTGACCCTCCCCCGGAAGCTTCCCATTTTCCTCACCTCTCAAGCACTTTCATGGCCCAGCGTTCCATTCCTGCCAGTCTGAGGGGTGCAGGTGGCGCTGTGTTTTCATGCACATTCGTCTCATCCCCGGGATTCGTGGGCTTCCTTCACACGCCTGTCAGCCTTTCTGGCTTCCTTTTCTGTGAACGGTTCATTCCTCTTTGTTCATTTGCTCATGGCAGCTTCCTGTGTCTTTGTTCTCCAGGGCTGCTTGTATATTCCTGGGCAGTTGCAAATACTCTCAGAATGGCACTTGGGTTTGTATATCTAGGGGTGCACTTTACAGAACAGAAAGTTTTACTTTTAATAGAGGTGAATTAAGTCTTCTGTCAAATCATTGTTGCTTTTTGACTTCTTATTTATAAGTAGTTAAGATACTTTACATTTTTTTCTGTTAGCTTATTAACTTTTCCTTTCACATTTAAGCCACTGAATAAGACTGAAGTCCAGCTAGTACATGCTGGCGTTTGCAAAGGCTGGTGTCCCCCTACATGGTCCAGTGTTTGTTCTCATTGGTTGATGCCAGGCTGTACTGGTTGCCAAATATTGAATGTAACTTTTAAACTATTTGAAATTCACATTTGTATAAGAGATCCAAGTTTTATTTTCACCATACAATGAGCCACTTTTCTCAGAGCTGTCTACTAAAAAAGGCATTAACTTTCCACTATATATGGTATAATTTTGGCAGTAGTATCACATTCTCAAAATTTTTTTGTTGGAATGTGGCATTCCTTTGCCTTATATTGTAGGAAAGAAACCTTTATAATATTTAAATAATACGTAGTTTGGTATAGCTTTCATTTTTTTCAGATCTTTTATGTCTATTAATAAGTTTTAACACATTGAAATTATGTGTTCAGTCTCAGCAGAATACATGGGGCTACGTCCGGCTGTGTGCACTTGAGGGTTTCCGTTCGGGTGGCCCTTGCAGGCCCCCACTCTGTCTCTGTGACCAAGACCATTAGTTGTTCCCTCATGTCCATTCTTTTTCCTTCGGGGTAACAGATCCCCTGGTTTTTAGCAAAGCACAGAGACTTCAGAATGAAGGCAGCACTTCCCAGCCTCGGTTGGAGCTGGGTGTGGCCGACTGCCGGTTCAGGCTCATGGGGCCCCAGGGGTGGAAGACTGCAGTGTCCAGCGTGAGGCCATACAGGGGCAGCGTGTGCCCCTCTCCTTCACTTTCTTCCTGGAAGTGGAGCAGCCCGACTGACATGAGGTGACCTTGGGGATGGGAGCCACCCAGGGAAGGACAAGGAGAGAAGGAACCTGAGTCTTAGTTTCCACGCAGCGTTTTGCCAGTCCCATGCCACTGAAGGGGAACTCCTGTCTGCTTTAAATCACTGCTAGTTGGGGATTTCTGTCTTGTAATGAAACCCAGCTCTAGACCCAGGATGCTGCTATTGCAAGCAATGTTGTGACCCTCTTTGGGAACCTAGGTGCAATCTCAGGTTTATATCCAGCTGTGAAATCGCTGGATGTTGAATGTGCACCTCCCCGGTTTCTCTTGAGTGCTCACAGATTTCTGACCAGAGTGGCTGGACCTCTCTAAGCCCATTAGCAAGTGCTAGAAGGTTCCAGTTTCTTCTTATCTTCCCTAACACTTAACCTGGAGAGGATATGGGAAAGGATTGTAAAGGAATTTGCATTTCTTCTGTGATGAGAGAGATTGGTCGCTTCTAGGGTGATCTTTCTAAACCCCCCCTTGAAATTAGAAACGTGCAAAATCATAGTGAGCTCTTACTCAGTGCCACATACTAAGCTTGGCACTTCTAATCTCGTTCATCCTCAGAGCAACCCTGAGAGGTAGGTTTTGTTATCACAGACATCCCCCCTCGCCCCATTCCGCTTTTTGTGGTTCTAGTTACTCAAGGTCACCACAGTCTGAATATATTAAAGGGAAAATTCCAGAAATAAGCAATTCGTAACTTAAATTGCATGCCATTCTGAGGACCTCACTGTATCTCATCACACAGGCAGAGTGTCATCTCACGTCCTCACAAGGAGGGTGAGTACAATCCAGTAAGATGCTTTGAGAAGCCTCATCCACATAACATTACAGAGCAGTCATATGCCACTTAATGACAGGAAAGCAACCTGAGAAATGCACCATGAGGTGATTTTGTTCTCGTGCGGACATCACAGAGTACACTTAATCACACCTAGAAGGCACAGCCTACACATCTAGGCTGTATGGAACATACGACCTATTGCTCCTAGGATGTGACCCCTATACAGCATGTCACTGTATAAAACAACACGAGGTTAAGTTGGGCACAAGACAAAGTGAAGCCATCAAGGGGCATGGATATGACTACAGAGTCAAACCTCAGTTCTCAAATCTCCCATCTCGAACTGCTTCTCGAACAGCTTTCCAGAGCAAATCAAATTAGAGAACCAAGGTTCCACTGTATTGTTATAATTGTCCTATTTTACATTTGTTAATCTCTTACTATTCCTAATTTATAAATTAAACTCTTTCATAGGTATGTTAGGTACAGGAAATATATACAGGGTTCAGCACTGTCCACGGTTTCAGGCATCCACTGGGGGTCTTGGAACACGTCCCTCATGAATCAGGAGAGACTACTGCACTCCAATCTTCAGAAGAGGAACAAGCATAAAAAGATCAATTTATCTGCCCTAGACCACACAGCCAGATGTAAAACCAGGGGGGCCTGACATATGACTCAGAATTCTACTCCTTAGTGTGCACACATATCATCTGGCGAGCTTGTGGAAATTCAGATGTGGGACCAGCAGTGCTGCAGTGGGTCTGAGAAAGGCGTTTCTGACAAGCTCCTGGGGTTGCAACACTGCTGACCACACTGAGAAGCAAAATGTTATTTTGCCTTTTTTCTAAAGCCTCACACCTTTAACACCTACTACCCTTCTCTCCATTAAGCCCCCATAGGACTGGCCACGTGTCCCACCTCAGCTTAGAACAGGGTCTAGCTCAGCATACTCTCACACCCACTGGTTTTTGTCTTTCTCCCCACTAGACTGTAAGATCCGTGAAAACAAATGCAGACATGCACTGCCTAATGATGTGTGGTCAAGGATGGCCCTCATATATGAGGCCTGTCCAGGAGGTATCTAGCCACATAATATGAAAAATAGATACATTTACTGAAGAAGACACAAGATATAAGAAACATTGTACATAGAACAGTGACACCTCAGTCCCTTTCAAAGTAGGCAACTTGGGACCTCACACAGTTCTCCCAGCATCTCTTCCACTGGTCAAAATGCTGGGAAATCCTTTGTTGGAATCACCATCAGCTGCCGTGTTGTATTTTCCTGAATCTCATTGAAGGTCTGAAATCTCTTCCCTTTCAAAGGTGATTTTAGTTTTGGGAAAATCCAGAAGTCACAGGGCACCAAATCTGGGATACTGGAGAGCTGAGTCACCTGGGTGATTTGATGTTTCACTAAAACTCTGCACAAGACATGATGCATGGGTGGGCGCATTGTGATGAAGCTGCCAATCACCAGTTGCCCACAGCTGCAGCCATTTTCATCATGTTGCATGTCTCAACCAACAAAGAGCATTGAGGTAGTACTCCTTATTAATTGTTTGGCCTTGGGTATACCTGTGATGGACAATACCTTTCCAGTAAAAAAACACAGTTATGGTCTTGATCTTGGTGCAACTTTGTTGCGCCTTCATGTGTGGAGAACTGTGCAGGTGACTTCATCGGGGGCAACAGGGCCTTTGTTTCCAGATCATAGCTGTAGACCCACCATTCATTTCCAGTTGTGACCTTGAGGAAATCCGGTTCATTGGTAGTGGTTTGGATCAAGTCATTAGCAACTGCAGTGCGATGTTCCTTCTCCTATGATAGCAGAAACCACAGAACAAATTTTGCTGACATGTTTCATGCCCAGATCCTGCATAAAACTCTCGGACACAGTAGTGTTTGGAAACCCGGGATCAGCTTCTAGTTCTCGCACTGTCAGTCACTGGTCTTTGTTGACTGCAGCCTGTACACGTTCAACATTCTCAAGTGTTCTGCTTGTTGTACGCCTTCCAGAAGGTGGATCAATTTCAATAGATTCTCAATCATTTTTGAAGTGTTTGTGCCACATTTTTATTTGCAATTCACTCATTATATTGTTTCTGAAAGCCTTCTGAATCATCCGAACAGTTTCCACGGAGGAACATTCAAGCTTAATGCAAAATTTGATGTGGATTCGCTGTTCTACTCGCTCAGGCATTTTGAATATGATGGCCACACAGGGCACATGCTCACTCAAAAGCACCTACCACCCCCACTGACTAGTATGGTGAAGTTGTCATTGTTCATGCATGCACATTCCAGTCCACTCTCCTTGGCTGCTAGGTTACATCAATATCCCACAAAAACATTCTTGTTATATTAACAATGACTGGACTTTTTCTGGACAGACCTTACACAACAGTAGTCCCATAAGTTTATAATGGAGCTGAAAAATTCCTAAGGTTGGACTACCGGCCAAGATGGAGGTGTAGGTAGACACACTGTGCCTCCTCTCACAACCAAAAGAAGGACAACAACAATTTAGAAACAAAAAAACAACCAGAACTGACAGAAAATTGAACTGTATGGAAGTCTGACAACCAAGGAGTTAAAGTAGACACATTCATCCAGACCGGTAGGAGGGGTGGAGTC